TTTTTTTAAGATAGATATTTTTCCTATTTTGCACTAGGTTTTCTTTCCCTTAAGTGCTATTGAGAAGCTATTCTGAAATCTCAGGGGGGTGCGAAGGGCCTGCCGCCCCCCCCGTATCTGCATCAGCCTCGGCATGTTTAATAAAATGTTGGTTATAGTTTTTATTATCAACTTGTACTCTGGATATGGGCCGGGATCCCAAAACCCAGTCTCTCAATTTGTGTTAGAAATGGGCCTAGTGTTAGTTTTGGAACTAATGTCCCCTGAAGATCATTTGATGTGACTAAGCGCTATCCCAATCAACAGCCTTTGGACTCATACAATCTACACTGTTCATTGTGTTAATTGGACACTGTACATACACTATACGAACACTATACAAATTGCACATTTACAATGCACTAAACTACAGTTATGCTGTAATATATATATATATATATTTTAATTTAATTGGTAGTAAAACTGTATATCTAGTTCCGGTTAACTAAATAATTGTAAACAACATTTTGCAATTTTAGAGACAGACTTTCACAATTTTACAGACAAAACATTGCAATACGCTTTTTCGATACGTTTTTTATGGCAAACTTTAGTTAAGATAAGCGAAGAGTTAGTTTTGATTTTTTGTTTAAAAGTTTTATATTATACCATACCCATACTTCTTTAAAATATACTTAAAGGGAGTGACCGGCAATGTATGGTAGGTGAACTGAGAATGCAGTATTGTGATGAAATTATTAAGGATTCATTTGAGACATATGAAACGTTGTAATGATGTATAATTACTGAGTTTGAGCGCCAAGTCGACTTTCAAAATCATCCGATTGTGTGGTTACGTTTATTATTAAATAACGACGGCTCAAACTCAGTAATTATACATCATTAAAACGTCTTATATGTCTCAAATGAATCCTAAAAAACTTCTCCATAACGCTACATTCTCAGTTCAACTACTATAACAATGCCGGTCACTCCCTTTAAGAGTCCAAAATTTTAAAGGACATAATAAATGTCCAATGTACAAACAGTAAAAATTAGAAAACTAGGGAATGAATGTCATCTTTGTTCTTACTTTTACTGTTTAATGTTACTAAACCTTCAGTGACAGTTCATAGTTAAAAGAAAAGAGTTCCATTGTTTTCTAGTTACCACTGTTCATGTGTTCATATATTTATATATATATATATTCATATCTGTATCTTATCTATCTATCTATCTATCTATCTGCTTCGTTTACATTAGACAAATTAGACCACTGTATCAAAATTATTACGTATTTTTTGCCAAATTGTGAGCTTAAAAATTTGTAAATATAAAAAATTGCATGATTCGCATTTTCACCCACAAAAAGGGACAAAGCTAAGCAAACCTTATTCACGGAATTATTAAACATGGCCGTACACTTTCAAATTTAAAATAAACGTTTTAGATAATCTAAATTTTTTTTATTTTGGAAATAAATTTCTAAATGTTGATTTAATTTAATATCTGGGAAGATAAATCATAATTTATTTTTAACCTTTTCTTCACAGGTCTAAATGTACCTTTTTGATATTTTAAAGAATAGAAGATAATTAAATTCGCTTAAGCTTATCATAAAGTTTTAAGAGTGCACGACTATAACGTTGAAACATTTAAAATCTTGGTATGACAGACTGTTAGCTTATATTTCTCACCTCTGAGAATTGTGGACGAACAAACATTTTATACGTACGCTGTTTCACCCTTCAGATGATTATTTAAAGGGACTGTAAGCGTAATTTAAACTGACTCTCCATGCAAAGATGGGAATGCCCGATTCACAACTGTACCCTTGAAAGATTTGGCTGACCTACAATGAATTAGACCTTTATTACTCTGTTTATTTCGGACTGTGGTTTCTCTGGAAAAGTGACTTACGGAATGCTTGCTTATAGGAAAGACTGGGTAAATTATCAGAATTAATCGCTTTCCGAGTCAGAAAAACAAAACGATTTTGTCTTCCACATTTCAAGGGTATCTTTCTGAACCGATTATGTCATAATGAAGGATCAATTAAAATAACGCTAACAGACTCAAAATAGTTACAAGAACATATCTATTTAGTTTATTTTCTGCACCTTTATTTTCTACTGCACACTGACTAACCCGTTTTAGATTTGATGATTTATATAATTGTACAAAGCAGCTTCAGGATTAGTAAGGTATTCAGGCATTAAGCAAATATTTTTGTGTTTTAAACGTTTAAATGTTTTTTGTGTTGTCTTAGATTTTTTTTCTTAAACAACAATATTTTATATTTTGTTTGTGTCTATTGTCTATTACGCTCATTAAGTTGTATAGAAATCGTAAATATTTTTTCAAGTAATGATAATGTAGTTAATCTAATATTTTTTTAATTAATAGTATTTCGATAGAAATGTATTTGTTTTTTTATTTTGGTTTTATAGAAGGTATTTTTTCGTGACAAATTTAATATTTTGTTTTTGACACTGCATGAATGAGGCGCATGACTGCATGAAATTCAAGTACTTTTCCTTAATATTTTCCGGTTTCGTATTTTTAAATGTCAACTTTTTGGTTTGGTCCAGGAAAATTAGTATAATTATTGATACTACTTGCTGAGACTACTTTTGCACGATTTTAAGATTTTAATGCATGATTCAAATCTAGGTTCGTCCATGAGTAATCTGCACAATACCGTAAATTGTGTTCGATGTGCAATGTCCAATATATATGCAATCGTCAATGCAGTTTTGTAGGGTATAGGGAAAACTTTAAGAAAAGATTAAACAGAGTTTACAAACCCTTTTCAGTCATAATTAACTTATTTTCTCAAACAGAAATAGGTTTTAAATCTGAATTTTAGAGAAAAAAATTCAATTAAATAAAATACGACAAGACGTGTAGTATCTAATCAAATATTTTTTCCGGTCTAAAATTATAAAACAGAAATTTTGGAAACCATTTCATCTTCAACTTAAAACTTAATTTTTACAAAATGTTTTAAAAATGAATTTTACAAAAGAAAATTTTTAAACGAAATTTTTTGACACAATTTGATTTTCACTTTACCCTTAAATGCAGCTGTTCAATCATTTTAAGATGGGTAGGCGGACAACAGGTTTTTCAGGCAGCTTGTCACATTTATCAATAAATTGCTTGAGAACCCAGTGTTGCCCAGGGAACTCATAGTTATTCCAGCCGTTTACCCGCGTTTGTTCGTAAACTACGATTTTTACTAGTTCTCTCTCAAATTAGAATCTCAAAACCAAGCTAAGAACATTCCTGTAGTTTTCCCAAGTTTCCCAATCTAAATTTGAGGCAAATCGGTCAAGGGGGTCATAATTTATGATCGGACAAACAAACAAACAGAGATTGCAAATTTATATAGATAGATACCAGTGAAGTCCTCGTGAGGGATTGAAGTGTCTAGTGTTTGTTTGTAAGCTGCATCATGGATTTTTTCCTTCAATTTAAAAAAAAATTTACTTAACATTTTTTTCAGTTACAGTAGTGAATCCTCCCTATTACCCAGCAAGCCTCCCACCCACCCTCCAACTACCACGCCTACTCCCCACCCCTCGGGCACGGCAGCCTCCACACGACGAGTGTCTAGAGACCGAGGTCGGGTACTACCGACCCCTTTGGAGGTCTCAAGAATCCCTAGGGAGGTCTCTAGAAGCCCCAGTGGAGGTCGGCATACAGCTCGGAGGGCGGAGTCACCTAGACACGCCTACTGCAGAAACCCAATATATTCCAGGTATTTTCACACTAGCGCAAAGGAATTGAGTCTCTGTCACGAATTGAGTCTTTGCAGCTGAATTTCAATAACCTTAGATATTTCAAACTGAAGCTTCTGTTAAATCAAATAATCTAAGTTTGAAATTAAAATATCAAAAGTTTACACCCGAGTTCACCGTGGCAGAGGAAACTTAATAATATACAATTTACCATTATCTGAAACCAGTTATTTTACATTTTTAAATTAAGTTTAGTTAAGATAGGGATAAGCACATTTGAGTTTTTGGCAAGGAATCAATTCCTTTATTATGTCCACTTCTGCGTTAAAATTAGCATTTTAGCAGTCCTGCTGGGGGGGGGGGGGGNATGCGGATCCACGGGCAAAAAATTAACCAAAAACTGCAAAAAAAAATTTACTCTCAAAACCCAAATCTGAGCTATTGAAAAAAGAGAGATTATAAAAATTTCCTAATTTCTGAATGGTTCATCAAGTTTTGGTATAAAAATAAGACAAAAAAATTAAAAATTCTGTTGTTAAAATAATTCAATAAATTCCGGATCCATTTTTTCCGAGGCGGACCCAGGATCCGGATCCGCATCAAAATTAAATGGATCCTAAGCACTGCATTTTAGATTAATTAATACTTTAATTAAATGTTGATTAAAAACAAGTTTATTTATTTAGTTACAGTCAGCTGTACAGTGGCAGTACACGACACAACTGGTTTAGTAGTGTACTAAACAACAACAACCATAATATATTAAACAGTACTGATAGCGAGGGGAGCTCGTCAAACAGCTCTAACAGTTTCAGATACAACATGGCCAGGTAAATAACATTTGGTAATTTCCAAGAAAAATTTCTCCTGCCCCCCCCCCTTCCTTATTTTTCAAGTGAACATTGTACAAGGTTGTGTAATTTCTATATTCTATACAACTTAAATGGGCTTTTGGGGCGCCCCTTTCCTGCAAATAATTTTAGCTTTTAACTGTTGCTCTGCATGTCGGCCATTTTTAATCATTTTCAAATTTTGACAGATTTTTATATTCTAATTGGCGCATTTTCAAAAAAAATTGCCAGGCATTTTTTTCTTCAATTTTGATGGCCCTACACAATTAACAAAATCTGTTCAGCCGTGTTGACATTTATTGGATACAAACAGACAAGACAGACAATTAAAGTATATACATAAATGAAACCTGGAATAAAATCTACATAGGAAGGGATGGGGAGGGGGCAGACCACTAATTCCACTGTTTCTCCAATAATACGAGAGGGGTTGAAAAATACAATTTAACCTACAGAGAATTTTTTACTTTATTTTAGTTTTAATTTGATTTTATATTCTTTCTTCGAAAGTTTAAATACATATTTTAAACTGCAAATCATTATTGATTTTGTCAAAGTTTAAAATTTAGTCATCATATCGAAAGGTGAAATTTATCATACGGACATTAAAAATGGGAGGGAGGAAAGAATTATCTCTGCTCACCAAATAATTGAAACACGAACATGTCAAGTGACATTCCATTTTTTTCATTGATAACCTCGGCACAATTCTGTTAACAATGAATCTATTTAATATATATTGATATGATTAAACATGACCCACATCTAATAATATAATTATTGATTATTTCTAGAGCTATATCCGTCGGTAGACTACCCTCACACAAAGAGAAGTATTTCTCAACACGGGATGGAAAACTCTGCATATCCTTACACAACAAGTAGATAAATCTTCACTGGAATATAATCAGTACATGCAGTACAATAGGGTCTTAAACAATATAGTTCACAGTACAGTGTCTTTCAAGAACATGTACTGTGGGGAAGAAAGGTTTAAATTTTGGAGAAGGAAGGGTAGAGCAAAAGAGAAGGAAGGATAGAAATAGGGAGAAGGAAGGGAAAAACTAGGGAGAAGGAAGGGAAGAACTAGGGAGAAGGAAGGGTATAACTAGGGAGAAGGAAGGGTAGAGCTAGGGAGAAGGAAGGGTAGAACTAGGGAAAAGGAAGGGTAGAGCTAGGGAGAAGGAAGGGTAGAACTAGGGAGAAGGAAGGGAAGAACTAGGGAGAAGGAAGGGTAGAACTAGGGAGAAGGAAGGGAAGAACTAGGGAGAAGGAAGGGTAGAACTAGGGAGAAGGAAGGGCAGAGCTAAAGTGAAGGAAGGATAGAACTAGGGAGAAGGAAGGGAAGAACTAGGGAGAAGGAAGGGAAGAACTAGGAAGAAGGAAAGGTAGAACTAGGGATAAGGAAGGGTAGAACTAGGGAGAAGGAAGGGTAGTGCTAAAGTGAAGGAAGGGAAGAACTAGGGAGAAGGAATGGTTGAACTAGGGAGAAGGAAGGATAGAGCTAGGGAGAAGGAAGGGTAGAACTAGGGAGAAGGAAGGGTAGAAATAGGGAGAAGGAAGGGTAGAACTAGAGAGAAGGAAGGATAGAACTAGAGAGAAGGAAGGATAGAACTAGGGAGCAGAATGGATAGAACTAGAGAGAAGGAAGGATAGAACTAAGGAGAAGGAAGGGTAAAAGTAGGGTAAAGGGAAAAACTAAGAATAAATAAAGAACCAAGGAAAAGCCAGGAAAATGATACAGAAATGAAACAGAAAATGCAGAAATTAATGACTTTAATAAGATTATTAAGTTTGTCTGGGTAGTATATCTTTGTCCCAGTTAGAAGTAACCCGTTGCCAATATTGCAGTTCAATATTTTGATATGTACCCCATGAACCCATTGTACCTTAATTTATTGTAAATATTTACAATTGTACAGTAACATAACATTTAGGGATATCATTGTTCCCTTAACCTTTTTAATCCAGATTTTTAATTCCAGTCAATTTTATAAATAATCCTTGTAGTTGTATCTCTGAAAGTAGAGAAATTTACTAATCAATTATCACAGATTATACACAACCAGAGATGTAGGAGATGTAGTAATACTATTCATTTTATATCTTACTAGTAGATATCCTTGTTTACAAATACTACAGGGTTACCCACAAAGGATGTTACTTAAAGGACGACCTAAAGCTCTCTAAATCAAAGATATGAGGGTTGAACAAAGAATTTTGTTTTAAATAAAGTCTTTAAATGATATATCAAATAATTTGGCAAAGAAAAAAAAACAAGTTACGAGATTCTTGAATTTTAGAAGATGGTTTGAATAATTTCACTACTGTCGTCTCTGAAGTCTAGTCATATGAGGGTAACCTACTACATTTTGTGTCTAATCTGTGACAGTGTGAAAGTTATAAAGCTTACAAAAAAAACTAATGTCAACTCTGTAAAATTCTCTGTTCATAATCATAACTCTTTTTAATCATTCTTCCAGTATTACTTACACACTTGCAGTTATTTTAAACATAGTCATTAGAAAATGTATTTTATTTATAACTTCAGCTTATTTTTGATATTTTGTTAAAAATCGAGATTAGTTTTTCTATTTATCTAAAAAGTTAACTTTTACTTTGGGAGCCTTTTAAATTGGATATAATTCTTATTTTACTAGATTCTTATGATTAAAAAATTGAATCATCTTAATCATTTTCAACCAATTCTTAATCAGAAAATGCATGGTTTACAAATTTATTAAAATTTCAGATTTAGTTCAATTTAATTTAGTTAAAAACTTTCAATTCTGGTAGGAAAACAAGTTCCAACCACTCAAGTTATTGATAAATTTGTGGTTTCATGTTAAATATTATTTGAATTAATTGATTTAACATTTCTGTGATATATTATACTAGAGATTTAAATATATTCAATTTATTAATTTAATAAATATTTTAATTCCTTAGAATTTATTATTGTTTTATAAGAGATAGATGGTTAATTTTATAGTTTATTTACATGCAAAGATAAACAAGTGAGACACTAAAAAGTGTTTTTTTTTTTTAAACATTTTAATCTTTACTTTTTCGTATTTTACTGCTTTTTCCCCTTTTTTCTTTTTTCTTCTTTTTTGCATTTTTCTCTTCCAGATCTTTCCCCGTATCTTCATCTTTTATCAACCTCTTGAATAAAAATTAAATTAACTATAAATGTTATTTTAAGGGACCATGGAAAAGTTTTGTTAGATTAAGAATACATAAGATATCCATATTTTGAATTTTATAAACTTTTTTTCATGTGTGTGGTTTGCAAGCCAAAATAGTCCCGGAATATAAAACTAAAGATTGGAAATAACCACCAAATAGAAAAATCGAAGAAAAAGGCCCTTTTTTTGCTTGACGATATTAAAACCTGTCATATCAATTTGATGTTCATGGAGTTCATTTTATTGTGCATTTTTTAAATTAGTGTATTTTTTTTTAAGATTTTTAAAATTATCAAGATATTGGAAATATATAAAGTTCTAGATAAATATAAGAATAATTTAAGGTCTGAACCCGACATGGAACCCTCAGGGTGCAGAGCATCAACATGCAGTCTGCGGCCTGGAATCCATCCAGGCTATCACACAATGTTTAATATAGTAATACAGGTGTTGTCGCTAAGGAACAAGATTCTGACGATGAACAGATAGACAAAGGAATAACCCTCAAATCAAAATCGATAATGCAGAAAACTCTTTATTTCCTAAAAAAAATGAGGCGGTCTTCAAGGCGGCGTCAAAGGCGGAGCAGTCATACACGAAGAAATCAAGGTTCGTCTCAATCGGTTTCTGGAGCGATTTGATGGTGCTTTTCAATAGTTCTATGTTGTCTTGTTGGATTACTGTATTGAGCCTGCGGGTGAACATCGAGATGAGGTGATGATGGGGTTGAGTTGGATTCGTCGATGTTCAGTTCCTCGTCCAGGTTACGGACGTGGTTGGTTGGTGTAGGACATATCATGCATCCTTGCATCCTGCAGGGATTGTTTCTTGTACATCTTTGGGCTTCCGAGAGGAGCTTTTAGGTTGAAGACGACATTACATGGAGGGGGGGTTGTTAATGGTTGACAACAGGAAACTAAAATCTATGAATGTAAGAGGCTCCCTTAAAACTTAGAAGTGCTTTAGCGTGAGTGAGACTATGAGACACAAATGTGCGTTCTCTTTTCCTGTCAGAGTTAAGTAATAAACCATAGTCTTGTTTTTGTTGCTAAGAAAGTGTAGATTAAACAAAGATCAGTTTTAAAAACAAAACCACGTGGCCAGATGCAAGGATTAGGGAAATCTTTATGAATCGTATAATCGAAGACTTTAAAATCTCGTGCTTACTGGGACACATGATACAATGAGAACCAGAAAACTGCAGCTTAAGAGGACAACATTAAAGCAATAATTTTTCGGTATTTGATGTTACAAAGAATTAGTTTTACTAGACAGTAGACACTTATTAAACACTAATTAGACACTTATTTAATCACCAATTTAGTAAAATGCGTCTAGACCAGTCCAAGAGAGCTAAGTACCTCTCTTAACTAATCCTGGTTGGTAAGGGCGTATACAGGGGGGCAGTGCCCCCACCTAGACTTGTAAAGAACTCAGAGCTATCACACTTTTCAAATCTGAACATGAAGAGTGAAGAGTATAAAAAAATTAATTTGCTGTTTTTTCTGCTTGTTTTGTTTGAAGAAGAGATAAAGTAGTACTTGTAAGTATCCAAGAAGAGATAAAGTAGTACTTGTAAGTATCCAAGAAGAGATAAAGTAGTACTTGTAAGTATCTTGTAAGTATCCAAGAAGAGATAAAGTAGTACTTGTAAGTATCCAAGAAGCCAACTGTTTTGAATTTGCGGTTCAAATTTGGCCCCCCATAGGAGTTCTTCTGGGGGGGGGGCGTCGCGCATATTTTTCTCCCCCTAGATTTATTTCTGTATACGCCCTTGCAGGTTGGTAGGGTTTAGGCTAGATAATCTATCCTACGAGTTCATAAGTTTTGCTAATACCGGTATTAACAGCAATGCCAGTTTCAATAAGAGCGGCATTAGCTAATCCACCCGCAGGGTGATTTAGGTAGGATCATCTAACCTAAATACTGGTATTAATTTGGTTTGGTCCTGATATTCTCGCAACCTCATGAAATACAGGGATGCATTAAAAACGAAGAAACACTTTGTATTTTACTTAATTTGAAAACTGATCTCCCCCTCCTCAAATAATTATTAATAAAATATTTTGAATATAAAAAAAACATTTTCATGAGAAAAACTTTTTTAAAGAAATTTTTTTCTAAAAAATATATCTTACTTTAAAGTTTTTATTTTTTAACTTTGATTTGATTGAAATGTAAAAAGTTTAACTTACAAAATATTACATGAATTTTTAATCTGTCTTTTGTCATAAAATAAAAATGTATTATTTAAAAGTTGTCTTTGTAATTATTAACAAATTGTTAAGTTGAGAAGAGAAAAGAGTTACGCAGAAGAGTTTAAACCTTAAAGATTGGATGATAATCCTGGTTTTAACTAGGATGGCTTATGAATGCAAAGCTGTTCTAGGCTAGATAGTAGATAAGCCTACCACTAATTAGGCAGGATTAGCGACTATAAATATGAATATAGGTATTTCCTAAACACCGGTGTTTAGGAAATATGGTATTAACTAATACCGCTCTTATACAACTCTTAAGATACCGGACTCTTGGACTGGCCTTCTATTTGTATATTACAAATGCTGTGTCTGTATTTAAAATAATAACTTGAGCCCAAAAGTCGTCTTCTAATTCCAAAGTTTCCTGATTCTCATTTCACCATACCTGGAATGAATCATACTGAAAAACAGAGCAGGAACCACTACAATATTCTTCTCCACATTCTTGGCAAACCTTAAAATATAATAAAATCTAAATACAGGGTTACCCAATACCCACCAAGAAAGAGGCTTAGATGGCGACCTGGAACTCCGTATATGACATGAAGGTTAAAATTTTTGTTTTCCACATTATAAGAATATTTTGTGTGTTGAATTCTTAGACTGTTTTACAATGAAATTTTTGACAAATTTGACTGAGTATTGCATCTTGAAATATCACAAAGTTGGTTAATGAGTGATTTTAAGATGGGTTTAGTATAATGAGTCAGTAATTGAAAAATCATTAGAATTTGTGATATTTCGAGATGAAATATTCAGTCAAATTTCTCAAAAATTTCATTGTAAAACAGTTTAAGAATTCAACACACAAAATATTAATCTTGAGTAGAATTGAAAAAATGGTTTGAGTTGTGCTTTTTTGAGTGACGCGGCTGGATTTTTTAAAATCACACTTTAAAGGCCCTAAATATACCATTTAAAAAAGTAGTTTTGTCCGGAAGAGTCAAATGTGGTGGTACGGAAGGGGAAGTAGTGGTGGCTCATGGCCGCCTGCCTTCCCCCGCTCGTGCAGGCCACAATTAAGAAAGCTTAGCAGACGGAATTGTTATCAGTCAATGGAATACATTTTTTTTACTTTTATTTAGAGTGTCACAAAATTAGCAGTTTAAAGCCGTGTTATAAGCAAAGCAATTTTCCGGCTTACAGAAGAAGAAGAAAATAACTCTCAAAGAATTGCACAGTTTGCGATCGTTTGTGATAGTTCATCCTCTTCTATATACAATTTTTTATCATTAACTAGCTATCGAAAACAATTTTTTATCGTCTCTCATATATCATGTTTAATTGGACACACTGTAGGTTAGATAAATAAATAATATTTACCAAAACATATTTCTCCATTACTCCTCCACGACTGCAGCTTGGATTTCTAAATGAAAACATGTATACTGTACAATGTGACCTCTACTTTTAGAAAGTAGATAAGATAAGATAAGATAAAGTTTATTGCTAAAACACATGTTTCTGTGTACAGAACGAGTTTACAATTACAAATTGATGATTATATTAACAGTACAAGTATAAAGCAATTAGGTGGAAATTAGCTCTTGGCTGTTTTGATTATTTTTTCAACCTAATTTCAATAATGATAACAACACATTTAAATAAATAAATTTAAGGAGAACTATTAGAGATCAGGGTGCGATTTTATTCTATGCAAAATAGTTATATTCATTAACTAGAATAACCATTAGAGTTTAAAGTAATTTTCTGACATTTACACAACAAATATCAAAGCATATTTGAAAGTCAAATTGAGTACAACATGGAGTTTGCTTTGCGGGTGCAATATATAAAATAGCATATTTTTTTAAATCTCAGTTGGAAGCAATAAGTAGTATTAATTGATTCAAAACATTGCATGGTATTAAATCATAATTGGCATGAACTCATCTTCATCAAGCTCGCAATTGGTGTACCGTACCATTTTACCATCTATAGCACCCAACGAGGTTATAGTGTGTAGAGTGATGATGCACGCTAATCCTATAGTAATTTTATAGGCCATTAACTATACCGAGAGCGTACTGCATAGTTGTTTATTATAAGTTGATTCTGGCCTAACCAATATTAGTAAACAATTGTAAGTGTACAGTACAGCTAACTGAGCCCACAGGTAGAGAACTATCATCGCCCTGATAGCACCCTAGTCTGCCACTTTAATAATAGTAAATTGTGAATGTATACTGTACACAAGATGCTCTAACAGCCTTAAAGCCAGACTGGTACTTCAAATAAACCGGACTTTTCAGTAATTTTTTTTTGCTAAACTAAGACATGTTTTATTGAAACTAATGACCAACCTTATAACTAGGAATGGATCCACTCCGTTCAGATCATTGACAACTTTCTCCTCATCCTTTCTTGTTCTTAACCGTAGCTTCTCTAGTTCTACCAATCTATAGTAGAAAGGGATTCTTATCGAACATTTATAAAACTTTTCATCGACATAGTTTCTCCACAAAGCATAGAGTAATAAAACGAAGAGGTGAAGCTTAGCTCAGATGTACACAACCGACCTCCCTATTAATTAATTGATAGAGTGGTCGGTTGTATACATCACGATATGTTTACATATCTAATACTGTGCACTTGTATATAGAGTGATCGTATCTAAAGGGGGATTTTATGGAATTGAACAATCTTTAGATTCTCTTTCTTTATTTAAAGAGAATTGACAATTTTCAAGTTTGTAGGTTTTCAATTAATTAGCAAAAAGTTATGTCAAAAATATTAAGTTTCTTGGGCATGAATACAGTAACTTAAAGCATTCTTATTTCAAACATTTTTATTGTTTACAATCCATATTAATTGTCTATCTAATTATCAATACTAATATTCAATTATCTACAAAAAACCACCCCTTAAAAATACGATCACTCTATGTACAAGTGTACAGCGTTAGATGTACGTTAACATATCGTGATGTATACAAACAACCACTCTATTAATTAATAATAGGGAGGTCGGTTGTGTACATCTGAGCTAAGCTTCACCTCTTCGTTTTATTACTCTATGCCACAAAAGATGAAACTTCAGAGGAGACTGTATGTATTACATAATTTACTCAGTAGTTTTCTTTAAATTTACGGAATCCTTTATTTGCTTCTCAAAAAAATGAGAAATTGTAGAATACGAAAAAGTACATGGATAACCAGAAAACTCTGAAATATGAAGACGACTTTAAAGCAATATTTATGTGTTTTAGATGTTGTTACAAAGCAAATAGTTAAATCCCTCATTTAGTGAAATGGGTCTGTTTACACTGCACAATAAGTGTTTTGGACAATTTAATTAGACATAACTTCAATTTAAAACCCTTGACTTCCTATTTCAGAGTTTTCTGGGGATTTTTTCAATCCTTCAACATTCCATTCAAAAAAAATTTAAAACTAAAACCCTTTTACTTACTTCGAAAAAATGTTTTCATCCACTGGGGAAATAAATCATAAAATTTCAAATCAAATAGTTTCAAAATAAAAAAATCAAATTTCAGTTTGTTTTCAAGATTGGACTTTTTTTAAAGATTATTTTTTTATAGTTGATTTTTCCCTAAATTAGTTGGACGGGCCAGGGTCAACATCTTCCAGTTTATTTCAACAGCTGACAAATCAGCTGAAATATTTAAACAGTTGACAAATTAGCTGAAATATTTTAACAGCTGACAATCAGCTGAAATATATATACAGCTGACAAATCAGCTGATATATATATAAACAGCTGACAAATCAGCTAAAACATTTAAACAGTTGACAAATTAGCTAGAATACATATAAACAGCTGACAAATCAGCTATAATATTTGAACAGTTGACAAATTAGCTAGAATATTTAACCAGCTCACAAATCAGCTGAAATATATAAACAGCTGACAAACCAGCTAAAATATTTAAACAGATGACAAATTAACTAGAATATATATAAACAGCTCACAAATCAGGAGAAATATATAAACAGCTCACAAATCAGCTGAAATATATAAACAGCTGAAAAATTAGCTAAAATATTTAAACAGTTAACAAATTAGCTAGAATATATATAAACAGCTCACAAAACAGGTGAAATATATAAAGAGCTCATAAATCAGCTGAAATACATAAACATCTGACAAATAAGCTGAAAAACTTTAAACAGTTGAAATATCAGCTAAATAAATATCATTAGCTAACAAATAGGCCGATATACAATCAGATAAAAAGCAACTGAAACGTATAAAGAGCTGACAAATCAGATTAAAAAAACTTAAGAGTATAAAGAGCTGACAAATCAGATAAAAAAACAGTTGAAAAGCATAAAGAGCTGACGAATCAGATAAAAAACAGCTAAAAAGTATAAAGAGCTGACAAATCAGATAAAAACAGCTAAAAAGTATAAAGAGCTGACAAATCAGATAAAAAACAGCTAAAAAGTATAAAGAGCTGACAAATAAGATAAAAAACAGCTAAAAAGTATAAAGAGCTGATAAATCAGATAAAAAACAGCTAAAAGTATAAAGAGCTGACAAATCAGATAAAAAACAGCTGAAAATTATTAAGAGGTGATAAATCAGCCAATAAATGTAGACGGCTAAAATATTATTTAGATAATATAATCAGCAAAATTTTAAACAGGTGATAGGATAGATCTTTGCAGATATAAATAAACATAGATCTTTCCAGATAAAGATAAGCATATATCTTTACAGATATAGATAAACATAGATCTTTGCAGATATAGATAAACACAAGGGTGTAATGCAAGGAAAGTTAATTGCGGTCGTGTATACTCTGCGTACACATTGAAACCAGTTCTCTTTGGGTGGAATTTGTTAACAATAATAGATGCATCAGTGTTCGTTTAGTATCCGAGGAGGTTAAAAGCATTACATTTTGATAATTTTAATAATTCACAAAATAGTTTCCTATGACCAGAATATTTCATTGATTCTTTATGTGAAAGGTGGATCCCATGTCAGGCTTTGACATCCGTCTTGTGTTTACATTACCGCCCAGAGAGAGTGCACTGCAGTACAAAAGATGTGTACACTTCTAAAATAACTTTCCTTGCATTACATCCTTGGATAAACAAAGATCTTTGCAGATATAGATAAACATAGATCTTTGCAGATATAAATAAACATAGATATTTGCAGATATAAATAAAACATAGATCTTTGCAGATATAGATAAACATAGATCTTTGCAGATATAGATAAACATAGATCTTTGCAGATATAGATGAACATATATCTTTGCAGATATAGATAAACATAGATCTTCGCAGATATAAATAAACAACTAAAAACATAGCTCAGAATACTAATAGTTATATTAGCATTCGAGTTATTTTCAACTTATGTATAAAAAAGACTTATTCAACTGATTGTTTTGTAAATATAATGAGGAAAACGTATTTTACAAGAAATGTTAAATACAAGAATTAACAATTAATATGTTGAAGGGTTCGATAATAATTGAAATAGTGAAACAATATATTGCATAATTTGCACATTTGTGTAAAACTGTTTATTAAATAAATTCAAGCAAATTTTAAACTACACCATTTATAGATATTTATGTATATCTTTTTGTGTGAATAAATCATTCAAGAGAGTAAAGACAATATTGATTACCTATACCATACAGAACGCATACTGGGAGAACAAGGATTAGAGTATCATCTATACGGACAAGGATTACCAATCCGTACGCATACTGGGAGAACAAGGATTAGAGAATTACCTATCCGTGCATGACTCTTACTGGGGGGACAAGGATTAGAGAATTACCTATCCATACATGACGCATACTGGGGGGACAAGGATTAGAGAATTACCTATCCGTACATGACGCATACTGGGGGGACAAGGATTAGAGAATTACCTATCCGTACATGACGCATACTGGGGGGACAAGGTATAGAGAATTACCTATCCATACATGACGCCTTCTGGGGGAAAAGGATTAGAGAATTACCTATCCATACATGACGCATACTGGGGGACAAGGATTAGAGAATTACCTATCCATACATGACGCATACTGGGGGGACAAGGATTAGAGAATTACCTATCCGTACATGTCGCATACTGGGGGGACAAGGATTAGAGAAGGGATACTCGTCAATATCTGATAAACAGCCTAAAAAATATAAACATTCATTTAGTCTTTTTAATTCTAAATCGACTTCAGATTCAAACTTTTGTGTGAATCCTGAGTCTTAAACGTTTGATCTCGTTATTAAATGTTCGAACTTTAAATTTTGGAGATTAATCATTTGAATTAACCCGTTATCACTGACACACTGTAAATTTCGGTTCATTTGATGTACTGGAATGCCTTTAAGGAAGCTACTGTTTAGTAGACATACATGCAGATTATAAACGGATAAAACAGGACAGTACAGGACAGTGAGAATAATTGTGATATTTAAGTTATCCCTGCAGTGTATGACCACCGTATAGTTCTACATAAGATGGAGATCAATGTTTGATCCCAAGATTCACAAAGTTCGGATTTCTGTATCCTGTATTTACAAAGAGTGCATTAATGCATTACTTATATTTTGCATTTTATTTTAACTAACCTTGCTCAGATTCTTTCAATGGTCCTCCTGCAGACTCGTTTTGCATAATCTTTGACTGCAAAATATAACATTGTTAGATGCTGAAAAGATCTCCAAGGTTAAAAAATGAGATGGTATCCTACTTCCTAAAGATTTGCCCACAAACAACATTATCTTTATTCTACAAATAATTCTTAAAGATACTTTCATCATAAAGTTGCATGTCTTATTAACAAAGGTACTCTTCAAACCTTTATATGAGTAACAATAGGGAATGTATTGACGTTGTTCTCTTAATATTTCTTAAAGATACTTTCATCATAAAGTTGCATGTCTTATTAACAAAGGTACTCTTCAGACCTTTATATGAGTAACAATAAGGAATGTATTGACGTTGTTCTCTTAAAAAGAGTTAAATTCTGAAAATTAATCCGCCAAGTCATGCACTTTTCTAGAGAGACCACAATTGAAAAAGATAATTTTTCTGACAGAAAAACAAGAATATCCCATTCATTCTTGATCAGAGAAAGGTTAAAAGGTTGTGCATCGGACTTTTAGAGTTTTTATCTGAAATTTACCTTTGCTAAAAGTAGTTCTTTATCTTTAGTATGAGCTCTATCATGACTAGTTTGAGGTCGTCTTTCAGAACCAACATTCACCTCAGGAGGCCTGAACAATACACACAGAGGACAATAATAATATTTGGAACATAGTCAACATAAAATTCATTTAATATTTTGAAATTATTATGATGAAAAATATTACCTTGCTCCCTGTGATACAACTGTAAGAGGAATAGCTTCTAACTGCGATTTTATTTTGTAAATAAAGTTTTAAACAATTTTTTAAATTTTATTTTTTATTGGTTTACGAAAAGCAGCTATATGAAATGTGTCCCATTCAGATAGCACTATTTTTTTTATAAAACCACAAAATTTAATACAATTGATATTATAGAACTATAAAAAATATGTTTTATGTGGCGCTATGTACCTCAAAATGTTTGACTAAATTTTTACTTAAAATCGATTTAAATTGATTTCTATGTTTTACATGGTTCATTTATTATCATATTTCGCTTTATAATTTAAAATATACAGTGGGGCACATAAAATGGTGGAATAGGACATGACAGTTATAGACTATACAGATATGATTTTTAATAGTTTAATGAACCACAGCTATCATGTGTACACTATACACTGTACACAGAAAAAAAAAACCATTTGCTTTATAACAACATAAAATGTACAGAATATTGCTTAAATATCGTCTTCTATTCCACTATATACAGAGCGTCCCATATTATATTATGTTATCTCCAAGCTTTAACGCCAAAATACGCACATAATACTCAAAAAACCTAGTATTTTCTGGAAGAAAACTTTTATAAAAACCTTTTACGTTTTTTAAAATTGATTCATTGTTTTTAAGTTTTCTGATTAGTCCCTAAAATCACCATTCTGAGCTATACACGATCTAATATGATGTGGGACACCCTGTATTTTAAAGAGATAATTGATAAATATCTTATTGTAATTTTTAAACTTTTCTTTTTAAAATTAATAAATCAGAAATAACCTTTCTCTCTGAGTTTTTATATTTCTTCTTTTTCCTTAAAAATTAATGGTTTTTGTTAATAATATAATTATTTATTTATTATCATATTGTAGATGATCTAAGGCTCATGTTTTTTGTTTGGTTAGTTTGAAAAAATGTTCTAAGTTGAGTGGGCCGAATTTTAAAACGAAAAGGTATAAAAGGTAAATCAGGGTTCCCAAACAAGTGTGTAAAAAAAGCATACAACTTTCATTTTGAAATAACAATAAAAAACCTTGAATTTATGAAAAGTAAAAATCTCTAAATTTGTATTGTCTGTCTGTTAGTGTGCATTTATCAATAAAACTAGAAACTACGCAACTAATTAAAACAAACGTCACAAAATTCAATTTTAATTAAAAATTTTGCATAATTGAACTTTTATTTTGATTAAAAATCCGTACAAGACTAAGACAAATATTCAAAATGACTATAGTCCTCAAATGTGACAAAATATGTTTTTTAATAAGTTCAAATTATCCTGATTAAATTAATATTTGTATAAACGCTCTAAAATCCGGCTTGTGAACAGCTGCCTTTAGTTCAATCGGATATTAGTGAGAGGATTAAGAAGATATCAAAAACAGAGGATTAAGAAGAAAATCAAAAGTGTGTACATGGGATACTCAGATTAAGCGATAGAAAATTAAGGATATCAGCTCAGGGCAGTTCTAAAACTAGTTTTGTTCCAAAAAATCAACATTTAGCGAACATTGACTGCTCAGTGCTGGTGCTCAAGCCATGGACTGGAAAAGTTATGAATATCAAGCCTTGTTTACAATATTTCTCATTGTTTAAATTAAAACTTTTGAATTAATTGTCCTAATACGTCAGTGTATGTAGACAAACAATTTTATAGTTTTTGAAAATCCACCGACGAAAAAAGAAAAATCTGTGAAATTTTCAATTTTTATAAAGAATGGGGTAAAAAATGGAAGCATGGAAAACAACAGTAATAATTATTATAAAAAAACTTAAAGCCTAGGATACCTGTATAGCTGCATTGCATTTTCCAACATTTGAATTTGTTTTCTCGTCTCTTCTGCCTAAATAATAAAGGTCAGGAGTTTTCAGCATAATAACTCATCATAGTAAACCATTATATTAAAAAATGCAGCAAACGATGCATAATCTTAAAATCGATAAAAATGAAAACCTTATTGGGAATTTTATTGGAAATTGAACTGAGCTGAAAACTTTAGAATGGTGGATATCGGGATTAAGGCTTAATCCACTCTTTTTCTTAATCTGCAGATTAAATATTGCTCCTTCTCCACTCATTTTTAATCTCCAGATTAATTATCCGATCAGGATTAAGGATATCCCATTCAAAAGTTCCCAGCTCAGGATATATTGAAATACATTGACGAAAAAATTCTTTTAAATCCGCGGATACTATTTTCAACTCAATCCTATTTCCTATCCTGGATTTCTCAATCTTCATATTTGCATATACACTATGCATTTACTTACATCCTCTGGTTGTATTCTATAATCTGGTATCTTCTCCATTAATTTCTTGTATTCATCCTCATTTGATATCCTAGGATTTAAATACTTTTAAACAGAGGCAGCTTTTGACGGAAGGGTGGGCAATGGCATACTGGCAGCTATACTAGCTCTTCTTCAATTCGATTTTTAAGAATAGATTTTAAAGATTTTTAGCGTCGCCCTTCTATCACTCAACTGCAGCCCCAAACCATGGTAAGGAGCCCTGGTATGTCAAAAAAGATAGCCCCCCCCCCCACTCCTGGACAAATTCATTTATTCCTTAAAACATTTATTAAATAAATTGTTAATTTTCTTTCAAAGCCTTTAGCTTTGCATTTTATTACTTTTTTCATTGTTGACATTAGACATTTTTCCATTTTTCACAATTCTTTGTTATTCCAATTTAATCATTTATTCCTTCATTCAAGGTGCCAACAATTCCCCTTTCCCCCCATACACCCCTTCTAAACAAACTTCCCCCTCCTTCGACAATTAATTGTCGCATTGCAATCAATTCTATCATTTTATTTCAATGATTTGCAATTTTTTGCTGCAAAAACTCATGAAACAACGGCAAAGTAAAAATAACTTTTGAAATAAAATTTTTCCTGTCAGTCGGGCGCCATTATAAATTTCACAAAGTATCTAGTTTTTACTTTCGTTATAATAAATGTGTCCCAAAAAACGCCATTTTATACATTGTTCAATTTTAATTTTTTTTTTGAATTTTTGAAATCTATGGAACTTGACATTTCCGGTCGATTCAATAAATGTCAAATTTCAAACTGTTCTTATTTCTTCAATTTTTGTTATTCATACCTCTTATTGATATCGTTCGATTGGAAATGTTCCATAGAATTAAATAGTGTTAAAAAATGTCTAATAGAGCATGTTTTTTTGGGACACCCTGCATACTCTTCATTAATTAAATACTTACGTAGCTTTTCTGAGATCAAGTATTTGTGGCGGGGGTTTCTTTTTGTTTAAAACATCCTCTACTTGATACTTTGGAGGCTCAGACATTTTAAAATCTCAAATGTTTATTTGTACGTACATGTAATTTTTTAGGTATAATATAGTTGTGTACGCATTATGTTGAGTAATGTGTACACGATTATTGTATAAAATCTTACAAGTATTACTCATGTATTTATTTTTTTAATAACGTTTATTTTATCAAAATTGTTGTACATGCATTTTAGCTAAGATATGTTTATAAATGCATTCTTGCAAAGATAGATATAGCATATTAACTTTTTGTGCCTATGGAATGTCCAAAAAAATGTAGCCATTACACCCAAAGCTGAAGTGAGTGGGTCCACCTTAAAAAGGGAAAAATAGGAAAAATAGTAATTTACGACCAAGCACGGGTAAACATTGGGAGTAAGTTTGAGTGCCTCAATCTCAATACATTTTTGATACCATGCTGCTAATTCGTAAATATATAAATTTACTTAATTATTAATTAAACTAATGTATCATTTGTTTGATTAAAATACTCCATATTTATGCAAAAATAATCAAATGTTTGTGAATTTCCCGTCAAAAAGTTTAGTCTTTGATTTGATAAAAAATAAATTGAAAATATAGAATAATTATGCAAATTTTTCATTAAGGTCTGGTTATGGACTAAACTTTACCAAGGTTTACAATTGATTCTTTAGTCATAACAAAGAAACTTAATCTTAAAGGGAGTGTTCGCGAAAAATGAAAGGGGGTATAGGCTTAATGCGATAAAAAAAGCGCTTTTGATTGCTACTAATCTTACTTCTATCTGTTGCGTCTATAAGGAGAAAATTGTTAAAAACGACTCACACCGAAGAACGCAGCGCCCATACAAATTCGGAAAGATGCAACATTAAACTCGGATCGTAAACAAATCAATTTCATTCCCAACAAATCATTCAGATATTACAAACAATAGTCATCGATTATTTTTCGACGCATTCATATATAGTTAATATTTCCTAATATTTTTGATTTTGTTTTTTTTAGATTAATTTTCGCTGGATTTTCGAACATTCCTGGAAAATATGAAAATTTCGTCTTCATTATCAAAAATCCTCGAAACAGGAAAAAATGTAACTCTCAGATCATGAAAAACACAAAATATTATGAAATATCAACTATTTACGAATGCGTCGAAAAATAATCGATGACTATTGTTTTTAATATCTGAATGATTTGTTGGGAATAAAATAGATTTTTTACGATCCGAGTTGAATGTTGCATCTTTCCGAATTTGTTTAAACACTACGTTCTTTGGTGTGAGTCGTTTTTAACAATTTTCTCCTTATAGACATGCAACAGATAGAAGACAAGTAAGATTAGTAGCGATCAAAAGCGCTCTTTTATCGCATTGAGCCTATACCCCCTTTCATTTTTCGCAAACACTCCCTTTAAATTTTAATCCTTATTATTCTGCGAACCGATGTGATAGATCTTTGATATTTCAAACTATGAATTCTGCCAGATTGAAAGGTCAACGTTTTTAAATAATCCAAATTTAGTACCAAGCTTTCAAATTAAAAAGAATTAAAATGAAGATTTAAATGAAGATTTTTTTTCATCTGTGATATCTTTTCTCTCTTAGATTACAAATGGATAACTGTTCTGTCTCTTCTGTAAAGTTTCTAATCTATGGGGAGACACAATTCAAACCTTGAGGAATAATTCCTAGAATTTACATAAAGTTTAATTTTCCAAGTTTTGACTGGCGCCATGCAATCTTTAGTAAACTTCTTTCAGGTGCAAAGTTAATTAAATTGTTTTTAAACATGAATTGTGCTCATTTTGTACTTTAAATAAATATTAAGTATTTTTGTAAGTTTCCTTTTTGGAGTCTACATATTTCTGTAGTTTTAAATTTGAGGGGACCGAGCAATGCGCCCTTATATCTCTTCAAATGACTTATTCCCAAAAATAAGCAAACCAATTATTATTGCCCAGAAGTCATACTCACAAAGAAAGTAGAAAGATTTGATTGCTGCTTTTGCAACCGAATTTGTTGAAGTTACTTTTGCGCAAGTGCAAAAATAAGCAATGTGCACGCGACGTAGTTTTCACCTAAAACTATTTTTTGAATACATAACAATTCAGAATTGTGCTTTCACTGTGATCATACTTTGAAGTGACCCTCCATGCAAAAATGGCAATGTCCTATTTACAACAGTACCTAGCTTCAAAATCTTTGTCTGATCCAAGGAGATATTGAAAAGAAGGAGGGGGCGATAGAGTTTTCGTACACTTTGCTGTGACGTTTTTGGACAGCTGAAGAACTAGTTTTTGCGTAACAACAATAATAAAGATTGTAAACAATAACACAAATGATAAACAGACATCTAGGGGGGGGAGGGGGCAGGATAACCTTGAATTTGATTGAAAATGGCTCTGTAATAAGGTCTTTTTCGTATAAAACTAAAATCCTTAACTTTTTCAATCTTTTTTAACAAGATAATGCTACTTTCACAGTTTACTAACTCATGTTTGTTTACATTAGATCGGCTGCCTTTGTTATTGTTGTTACGCAAAAACTAGTTTTTCATCATACACCAGTCCAAAAACGCCACAGCAAAGTGTACGGAAACCCTATCGCCCCCTCCTTCTATTCAATATCTCCCTGGTCTGATCAAGTATGAATTAGATATCAATGTCTTTAATTTTGAAAACTAATTATTCTTAATTGTAATTCCTCCACAGAAACTGATTTTCCCATTTCTACTGCAGCAAATATAAATGAATTATCAAACTTGAAGACTCTTAAAACTAGAAAAAAATACCAATATATTCCAGGTTTCAAGGGTACCGTTGTAAATAGGGTATTGTCATATTTTCTTGGAGTGTAATTTGAAATTACGCTGACAGTAGGTTCCATTAACATCGTTTTCTTATTATTTCTGATCAAACAACCATGGCACCGCAAGAAAATTCTAATTACATTTTTATTTTAGTTTAGAAAAAAAACCTTAAATGTGTTAAAGTTTGGTCCTGTGTTTTAAAGAACTGCAGATAATATAATAACAAGGTTGGGGAATTGGTTTTATCGTTTCCAGATTCCTTAGAGGGTTTACTTCATACAGTTAGAAATAATAAACATAAACACAATTTGATTTTTTGATTTTTAAACAATTAATTTTATCGACACAAATGTGATTCAAAATAGTTTTTTATTTTTTCCGATAACCCCCCCCCCCTTCCCTTATCCTAAAACATAAAAAGTCAAAAGTTTTGTTAAAAATATTGCAAAAATTTATTGGAATAACAACAAAAAAGGTGACACCAGTTCTCGTTAGCTCAATGAAGTTAAGCACACTTGTCCGCAGCAAGTAACTGGATTGGTGTCCAGACTGGTGTTCACGGTTTCGATTCCCGTACTCCACACAAACCTGTGGGTTCAAAAACATCTGAAACCGACATCTGGTTAAGCAGTTTTGACCACCTGACGAATGTAGGAGGACAGAGGGGCGGCTGTTAACAACTCTCGCAGCGAAAGGGTTCGTTCTTCTATACTCATCAAGAAAGAAGCTTTAAGTGTAATGATCCAAGTGAATGATGATGAAGAGAGGAATGGTGGACAAGCAGGGAGAGTCTATGGTTGCCAGCTATAGGTACCTAGGGGTATCCAATCCGGGCTTACAAATGATTGGGAACAATAAGTGTGATGTTTCCGATCTGTAAGGCACTCTGCTATTCTCAGGTCTAAGAAGCAGGCTGCTGGAATCTTGTCAACCCTCTTCTCAGAATGAATGAAGCGTGAATAGATGAATGTGCTGCCAGATTACAACTCCTGGTAAATCAACTTAAACCCATACACTCCAGACTTTCGTAATAGAAAAATTCCGAGATTTGATCGTAACAACCCGATCATGTCCTGGGGACAAAAAAAATCTTTTAAAAAAATATATTGGCACGATAATCCAATAATAACTTTCTTTAATTTATCAAAATTTATGTTTATTTTAACATGTTGTTTCCCCTCCCTCTCTCCAGAGGAGAACTGTAACACTGATGATAAAATGCAAAATAAAAATATTTTGTCAATATTTACTATTTACTTCATGGAACAGGGTTGCTTACAGGGGGAGCCTGGAGGAGATAAAAAAATTAAAAAAAATACTATTTTCTCAATCGTTCTTGCTTATGTTAATAGTTACTTCCTTGCAAAACTAATAACGTAACAAGGAATAAAGTTGGCTAATTAATCAAAATCCTTCCAATATTTGATCATTAACATAAAAATTACATAATTACTAATACTACAAGATACTGATAGGGCTGGGAACTTTCACACTTTGTTCAAAACGTTCGTTATAGTTGAACAATTAACGGAATGGACCAACTATTCGGGTATATGGCGCCAACCGTTAACTATTATTTCAAGCATTATTGAAACAAATGGCGCCTGAGCGGGATAAAACAGAAGACTATATTCAAAATATCAAAAAACGTAATTTAATTTTTTAAAGGTTTGTTTCTGCATTTCATGCAATTTTAAGCAAAATAAATAACTAAATTCACCTTTATATTTTTGTAAACGGATGCTACTGCTAATGCTACTGCTACTTCTACTGCTACTGCTACTGCTACTGATACTGCTACTGCTACTGCTACTGCTACTGCTACTGCTACTGCTACTGCTACTGCTACTGCTATTGCTACTGCTACTGCTACTGCTACTACTACTACCACTGCTATTACTAAATCTATGATCCAAACATAGTCTTGATATACTGGAAGTAAGCTTTGCTGGTTTCAAAAATAAATTAACTAAAGATTTCTTGAATTTCTTTCACAACAACCTGCTACTGCTACGCTATTGTATAGGTTTGCTCTATTGAATGGTTCTAAGTTGACTGAGAAAGGAAAAGTAAAGACTGCAGTTTTATTCAAAACAAAGTTTAAACTTGATAAAATTTAGTTTTAGGATATTGTAGAACGAAATGTATAAATAAGAGGATTGAAGGGAGGGGCCTATTTCAATTTTCTGATGGGAAGGGGTGGAGGGGTGTTTCAACAATTTTTTATAGATAAATAGCATACAATAAAAAGAGT